ATTGATGTTTTAATGTTGCTGTCATGGTTGTTGCCGATGTTGTTGACCTAGAGCAATGTCATTGATGTTTTTGAATGCAGCAGCCAGTGATGTAGTTGAATGATGATGTTGGGCGTGTGTTATTCCCGGCTTGTTATCTTTTTAAGCGGAAGTGGTGCTAATGTTGAGAGTGCAATTGATGATGCAACGATTGGCGAGGCACTTTGTGTTATTGATGATCCCATGCAAGATATCCAAGTCGTCGTTTTCCCTACTGTGTTGTGTGTGTGGTGTTGTTTTGTTGTTGTGTGAGTTGTTGTGTTGTTGTTGTGGTGTTGTGCGTGGTGTTATGTTGGTGTGTTTTCGTTGCATTTACAGTTAGTATAGCTTTGTCATTTTTTTGTTAATTTTTAATTAAAATTAGAATATTTTTTTGTCATAGTAAGTCTCTTAAAATTTGAAGATTTTTTGGCTGAAATTTTTCAACCGTATTATACATTTTTTTATACTCTTTTATAGCTGTAGCATTTTTTCAAATGTTAACAACTTGAAAATTAAATAGCTAATGTATGTGCTTAATTTTTTAAAATTTGGTCACTTCGATAGAAATGTTATCGTTGTTTATGTTGTTTTTATTTATGCTGCTATTCTCTTGTTGTAGTTCACTTTAGTGTTTGTATAAAAGTTGTTGTTGTTAAAGCTGTTATTAATGATTTTACTACCAAAAAAAACTTTTGTTTTATTTCTTAATGTTATTAATGAATTTTATTTGTAGTTCTTTGTTTTTTTTTGTTATCTTTGTTTTGTTTTTGCAACATCGTCCGATCCATTTCGCAACATAAATTTTGCTAATTAAAATCTAAAATAATGCCCGCGCTAGCAACATCACGATCACACATCCCTATGAAACAACACACGCCACTTTTTGTTGTGGTTGTGGTAGTTGTGGGGCTAGTAGTAATAGTAGTAATAGTAGCTGTAATAGTAGCAACATTAGTAGTAATAGTAGAAGTAGTAGTAGTAGCAGTAGTGAAAGTGGTAGTAGTAGAAACAGTGGTAGCAGAAGTTGTAGAAGTAATGGTAGTAGTAGTGGATGCAATTGTTGTTGTTGCAGTTGTTGCAGTTGCAGTAATAATAGTAGAAGTAGTAGTAATAGTAGTAGTGAAAGTGGTAGTAGTAGAAACAGTGGTAGCAGAAGTTGTAGAAGTAATGGTAGCAGTAGTGGATGCAATTGTTGTTGTTGCAGTTGTTGTTGTTGCAGTTGTTGTTGTTGTTGTAGTTGCATCCATATGCAATATGCAATAATATTTTATTTAAAACAGAAACATTGAAATACCTCATCATAAATACTAACATTACAAAACATAGATACCAAAACAACAACAACATCAATAACAACATGACCATACC